AAACTGCTGAAAAAGCTGATGAGTACCCCTATAAATACCTGTAACCCTCAACTATCAGTGTGCAGTTGGAGGGAAAACTTCCCCCTCTGTACCCAGCACTGTATTGCTCATACTTTACCATATTAAATAATAAAATGATTGCTGCTTGAATATTGGCCTAGTCAAGCTTCTTATTCATAACAGTAATATAGTTACAATCTGTTAATCTGCTCTGCAAACTGGTCTCACTGTAAAGCCACTTTGCACAAAGTGCTATTGCTACCACTAGATGTCAGTTTTACACACTTAAAAATGGTCAATTCCCTTAAAAATAGTAATTCTCCATTCACAATAGAAACAGCTCTCTATTATGCAATTCTTTCTGAACTGACCTTTAATTTGAAGTGCCTCACATTTTATTTACCTTCTCTCCACTTCTTCCCCAGCCCCTCAGGGCATAGCTCTCCTTTATTAAAGAAAAAAAAAAAAACTCTGCTATGCATTTATTCCATGATTTGCTCAGTCTGAGACACTGGCCATTTTTGCCAGATGTCACTGACAAACGTCTATATCTCAGATTGTGTCTCTAAGGCCAGCACTGAAATCTTACTTTTATTCCCCAGAGATATTTTTATATTCCATAAGGACACTTCTACTAAGAAATGCCATTACATTTTTTTACTAAGAAATGCCAAAGTAATTACAGATAGGCTGCCATGCCAGTTAATAAGGAATATCATTGATATGGCTTATTAAAATTTTATGATTTTTCAGATTTTTAGTTATATTGACTGCCTAAATGCAGATAGATTTTATTTATACTTCAAATCTCTGTCTCTCAAGAGTCAAAAACATAGCTGTATATTCCTCCAATCTCCTACAAAGGCTCTTTACAGGTGCTTTTCTTAAGAAGAGTTTTCATTAGCTAGCCTTAACATAAACTTGGTCATACTGAATACAGAACTTCTATATTATGCATTTACTTTATCGCAAAATGGAATTGCTATTTGTCAAGTAGATCTGTCTTTACTTCCTTCCCCAAAAAAAAAATCATTGAAGAAAATTGGGATGAAGTCAAATTCATTATACATTATTACAGTCAAATATATATATACTCCACAAAAAGCAACAAAGCTCTCCAAAGCTCAGAACTGGCAAAGTTACAGAATATAGCTCTGAATTTTTACAAAGTAATGACAAGACTGTCACCTTTCATGAAGCTGTACTGTCCGGATATTGACAGTTTAGCTAGCAACACACTATGTTTGTTTATCATAATGTCAAAGGAATCCCCTCACCCTCATTCACATCAAATGCATTTGATGCGAATGCATTTTCAAGCTCCTACTGATCCTTCACAGCTCTCCTGGACTCCTCAAGGTATTCTTTGCACCTGCAGCCATAACCATCTCATACAAGTGCTTGCCTACCAGCAAGGGATGGAAAGCAAGGAAGGGGAAAGATGTACCCCAATGAACTTCAAAACAGAGTTGAAAACACTGTATCATGCAATCAACTCTATCAACAATCTTCTCCAAAGACATCCACAAACTTTTTTAGACAGCAACTCCATTGAAACCATCTCTTTGCACAGTCTCAGCAATGTAAAAGCATGTCAAAAAACCTCCAAGGCAAACATGGAATCCGAAACACATCCAGTCCCATGGCTGCTGACAGCAATGTTCATGACTTCCTTAGAGAAGTGCCACGGCTGGGGCAGATGAGGGTGTCATATATGCTACATTTTGTGTGGCAACGTTCTGCCCCATTCCCTCTACCTTCCTACCACACTCACCATCCCTTATCCACCTACCAGGCATCCCCAGGACTGCAAAATGCCCTAAATCCCACCCAGCCACAGCATGTGAGCCACCTGCACCCACACTGCTCCCTCCACAGAAGGGGAGCACCTCAGAGACGCCAAACTGCTCTGCATGCACTGCGCAGTCCATGGGCACGAGCCAGTCCAAAGCTCTCCAGATGAAAATCCACAAAACCCCCTGTGCACCCACGGCTCCAGACTGTACAGATCATACCTGCTCTCTGCTTTTGATGCAAGGCAGCTCCTCTGTCAGCACCCATGGTGGCAGGCAGCTACAGCAGGAGGGGCTCAGGGCCAAGACATGCTTCTGCAAGGAAAGGAGCAAAGACACACCTCAGACACTGGCACTACTACAGCATTTCTCTGGCTCCAGGATGCTATCTGCAGAACAAAGCTGGTTGGCTTGATCTGCAAGATAGGAATTTTGGTTACTCTGAGCTACTGAACTGAGTGAGTGAGTGAGTGAGAAAGTTGATGTTGGGTGAATGAAGCAGCCAGTAGAAATGAGGAAATCAACAGCAGGCTAGAAGAGCACAGATTTTTTTATATACTATCGAAATTATAACTTGTATATTATATATTTTAATATTATCTATTTCTAATATTATATGTTTTAAATATCATATATTAATACTATATCTATTTATATGCTTTCTAAATTATAATTATGCTTTAATATGAAAATGTAAACATAAAACCCAAACAACAAACCAAACACACAAAAAACCAATCAAACAAAAAAAGAAAACAAAACAAAAAAAAAAAAAAACCTTAAGAACAATCTGTCCCTTTATTTCCTCATTGTATATTTGACATACAAATCCCTCCAGGAAAGAAACTGCTTTAACTTCTTCTTTATCACACGAAATCATTTGCAACTTATTCCATTCATGCCAATATGAATCACTAACAATGTATATCATGAGCAACAACAGAAGCAATGGTTAATTAAAACCTGGAAGCATTAGTCATCTTCCTACAGAAGTCACCATGTAATTTCAAAAGTGTTGAGGTTCGCAAGATATTTTTGTACTCTTTCCTAGGACCAGAATTCTGCTGCTGAAGAGCAGCAGCAGCTCTTAGTTGCAATCAATCATGCATTTTACTGAAGAAGGAAAAAAAAAAAAAAGCTTTCAGCTGGACCCATAGCTATCAATCATCTCAAACCTCAGTGAGATACATAGCTTGATCCCTTCATTGAAGATTGTCCCGGGGAGGAAAAATAGGTTAAAACTCTCTCAATAGAACATTCTTCAATAAGGAAATGGCTTAGTTCCATAGCTTCCTTCTCTACCAAGCTCCACTGCAAGTTTTAAAAGTGCCTGATCTAACCATACACACAGCACTTGCCTGTGTGGAAAGGCAGCTGTGCTTAGGCAGCACATTCCAAAAAACAGCATCTTGGAAGGACTGAAAAGTTACACAAGATATTAAGCTATTTCTCTGAAATCAAGCCATTATACCCCAGCAATTTTTATACGAACAAGTAAAGGTTTAAGTACTCTATTTTGCAAAGAAAAGGGAGGGAACAAGAATCAAACCTTTGCAACAAAAAGTATAGCTGCCTCCTCTTCTTACTTACAAAGTGCAAGAGGAGGTGAGGAAATAGCCCTGGTCCTGCTGTTCATTGATATGCAGAGGCAATTGGGTGAGTCACCGCTACAGCTGATGAAGCCAAAGGAGCCCAGATGGGCCTGAATGGCAATCACATAGTTCAATGCAGCTTTAAATTTCCTCAGGAATTTGGTGATTTCTAGATCTGCTGGATCATCTGCTAATTACCATACCCACTATATGTAGATATACAGCTGCTTTTTGTTACAGTATAATTACAGGCTAAGTATTAAATGTAGGGGCTTCTCTACTGTCTGAAATGGCATATTTTCCCAACAAATATGTCAAAGAAACGCAGAGATTCACTGGGATTGAAATATAGACTGAGGAAATATGTTTTCTCTGAGAATGTGTATGTCCTCCACTTGATCTTCCCTCATACACTTATTAGTGTCTCCACTTGTATGCCTGATACAAACCCATCTATCATGCTGATGAGATGGTGAGTGAAAAGGCAAAACAGTTTGGTTTGGGACTGATGGCTGGGACATCATTCAGAACAGATCTGAGCAAGCATCAGTCATACCACACTGAACTCACTACCACTGAGTTCACTGGAAAGTATGTATTTCAGAGATTTCACATCCACTATAGGTACACCTAGAAAGTGTCAGGAAATACACAAATTAATTTGCTTTTCCCAAGACAAAAATAGATGGAGGGTTAGAATTGCATCTATTAAATGGACACATTTTCAGCCTGACCTATCCTCTGCTGAAATCAATGCTGAAAAAGAGGGCATTTTAGCATTAGGTTTCTGGACTGAAAGCATGCAATCCCACCCCAGGTCTTAGTACAATCCAGAGACTGCACTGGAAATTTTGCACTAAAGAAAAACCCATAGATGAAAAAAGGTTTTATTTAGGCTAACTTAAAACTCTGATTTAAGAAGTTTGCCTGCAAGTTGTGCACTAGCTTGAACATCAAAAGTACTGCACAAACTCCTTGTTTACATTGAGCTGAGAGGTATATAGAGCTACACAAACTATAGAAATCATTTGGGGAAACTCTTTCCGGTACCTGCATTAGCTAGTTCAGCATTAGAATGGGCACTTTATGTGCCAAGGTAGTACTCTACAAATTCTATTTCTTTGTCATCACCAGCTCTTCATAGGTTGAGAAGTCATGCAGAACTTTAGAACAAGAACAGAGGAAACATGAGGTTAATAATATTCCAGCCATTGTTAAAGTATCTTCCACTCAGCCATTGTTGTACTAATCTGCTGATTTGAGTGAAAAAAATACAAAGAAATTCTGTGATGAAGTGACCATATTAAATGGCTTGCTTATCACTTCTTGGATGATTCATTAACCAGCCTAATTTAATCTGCCACATGCCTGGTAAAATTCCGGTTTAGCAATGTAGTCTGTACTAGCAGCTTTCTAGAAATGTTACAACAGTCTAATAACAAAAAGTTAAGCATTAACCAAGATGAGACAAGCATGTAGCTACAGAACTAAAAACTGTTTTTTCAGGTCTTTCCTTCGTTCACTTTTTAAAATATCATGTATTTCACTTCTTGAATTGCTCTTGATTAAAATGATCTTCATTTAATTTAAAAAAACCTGTTTTCTCTCTTTTCAGAATGCATCAGCACATGAGCTGAGCAGATTCAAAACAATGCACCAGCCGTAAGTTTCTCATTATTTTCCACTTCCCCTCTGAATGACTAATACACTTCTACTCTGATAGTTGCTCTGTTAATAAATCAGGAAAAATGAGAATTGAAACCTCCTGATCACGTGAACTTTAACATTAATTCACGGGGTGGGACTTCCTCAGGATTAGGATCCTGGAATATTTACAAAAGCTGTGGTTCAGATCAGCTGATGGGAAAGTCTCTTCTGCATCTCTCTGCAGATGCTGGATGTTATTCTTCCTCAGAGCAGAAAGGATGTTATTCCAGAACATAAAGGCTCTTTGCTTGTATTGTATTTGAGGTCAAATTTTCATCTGCTACTTAGGGATTAATTTAACCAATCAGTTCAACAAAGTGCTATGTTGAAAGTCATTTAACCAGAATTTAAATATAGTACTGAATAAGCAAATACAGATATAACAGATGAGAAATGCCTTCATATAACTTGTGACAAATCAAGTCCATTTCAAAGGATATCCTTAACGTTCAAACATATTATTTCTCTTGTAGTACTACACAGAAATAATATTAGGGAATTTTCTCTATGAGCCAGTGAAACCAAGAAGACATCAGTTTAATATAATGTGTTGCTGTTCACCTAATGGTTGCTACTATTCCATGTAGCTTTCCCCTCCATCACTAGCTGGGAAAACATTGATCAATTTGCAAATTGATTTCTGAATTCCACTCTATTGGTAAGAAACTGGATAAGCTTGAAGGCATTTTTACCCAATAAATTCCTATTCCTATTGATAGGAATTCATTGAGAGCATAGGTAAATATTCTTCTGGGTCTAATTTAATAATTTACTAGGTAAGTAAAAAAATGAATGGACTTCCTTGCAAAGCACTTTAGTCTAACGGGACGTCATTTTGAGAGAAAATGTAGAGAGAAAGTCAACCAAGAATACATTTTCTGTTTCTGACATTGATGAATCTGATCTGCTAAAATATTGGGGTAAACAAACATTGAACTTAGGCCAAGAGTTGCACTTCTACTGATGTGAGCATTCAAGCTTTGAATCCTCAAATTGTACATTGGAATAACAAAAGTGTTTTGCCATTTGAATTCCATTGTCCAAAGCATTAAAATTCCTTAAATGCACAGTGTGGATGTCATATCCTTAGTACCAACTCCCAATCTAAAATGTGTTACTCTTACATCATACTCCTTGCTATTGCAAAAACTGCCTGAGTTTCCAGCACTCCCAGTTTAACTGGAGACATTGAGTCTACATTGATCCACCTAAGACAGATCAGCTGACCTGTTCCAGCATGTTCACACAGCAGGTAATTCCCAATGGACCAAGACACTGAGGACAGATAAACAGAAAATTAATAATTGCCAGACATGGTGAGACTGAGATCCTGTGTTTCTCCTGGCAGTGGCCAGAGCTTCAGGTCTCTGCCTTGATGAAAGTTTCTTCATGGGGCTTCATCAGGCAGGAGATAAGCTCTCTAATCACCAGCAAAAGCCCTTTGCCTTTCCTATTCCAGTTCAACACTTGATATTCTTGTTTTCCACGAGATTTTGAGTCCACAAGGCAGTGAGTGCTCTTTGAGCTAAAACACAGTTATTCCCCATTCTGCTGGGACATCTCATGACAGAGGTACCACAAGCAATCTGCAGCCAGGCTTGGTTGTGATTCCCTGCCCTCTGCACCAAACACCTCCACCAACTTAATGCAAGGCTCTTTTCCCTCCAGCCAGTACCGCACTTGTTCTCTAAGGGGAAAAAATTGTCTAGGCAAAAAAGACAAAATGGTTTATCTGGAAATAGTTTATCATAGTAATTCTGTTTTGATACCCGTAAGTAAACTTTTTTTGCACTACACTTCTCATAAAGTTTCTTACTATATTCTTTTGAGATTACTGTGTCAATGTTGGCTTTGACAGCCTAATGACAGCCCCATATAAACTACTTCCCACCTACACTTAAAGCCACAGGTCTACCTAGATTGTTTCTGAGCAACTACTGGATGTTAAGGTGAAATTACCAAGGTGCAGTCTCTACTAGTGTCTTGCCCTACCTCTGAAACTCAATAATGAAAGATTTTCCTCCCCACTTGCTAAACCGTATAAGAAGAGAGGTGCTGCTTTAAAACACAGGACAGCAGAGCACTGACTCACTAGTCCAAACCCTCTCTGGAGCTGCCAGGGTTGTGCAACAAACTGCTCTCACAGGTTTACATGTTTGCAGCAATCCCAACAGCATGTTGAAATCTCGATCTTTGCTTAAAGCCTTTCCTCCTGCACAAGCACCATTGTATTTTTCACTCCACACAGCAGACTCAGTTGATAAACTCTCACCCTGAAAGCCTGAGATCACCCAAAACACTGAACCAGTTCACTCTCAAGAATGCCAGTACAACTGCACTTTCCAGATACTTCCCCTGAGAGCAGTTTCAAACATCCCACTGATTCCAGTCCTGGGCTCCTTTAGTCAGTGCTAGTATTTATGCCAGGGAGAACACTCTATAGAAAAACATCAAGCTACATTCAGGAGCACTTTTTAAGACAGTGCAGATACCATAATCAACCTCTTACCACAGATACACAAGAATCCTGGAACTTAAGTCCCTTCCAAACATGCTGTCTTACTGTGCAAATAAGATTGGTATTTATCACTGTATCCAGCAAAACCCAGCATATAGGCTATAACTCAATTACAAACACCCAAAATTTGGAACCATATCTCAGAAAGAAATGTAATTACAGCTTCATCACCTCAGTGTAGATATTCCAAGACTTACAGTATCAGATGTTTATGCAGAAGTTTTTTTCATAATGCTTTCAGCCTACCCAAGTTTCATTTTCCCAGGGACCGTGAAATTAAAAGGCTGCCTTTATAGCTAATGTGATTAGAAATTCATCCCAGATCAAACTCAGAATAAATTTTGCTCTCAGCTCTCGGGAGCTCTGGGGGCTACTTTACAAAATCAGGATTGAAATCTTTCATCACAAAATCAGTACTTTCTATCACATGCTAATTCAGAAGCCTGTTCTGGCTGTGACAGATTGCCAGGTAAATGAGAAATCCTCACCTGCAAATCAGGTCTGAGGTGTCAAGTCTTGAGTTTACCATTTGTATATAGCAACATGCAGTTATGGAAGATCCTGGGTAATAAGTGAGCTGAGTTGCAGAACACATAATTACAAGTTCTGTGTAATTATGGTTTGGGCAGCATTTGATCTTCTTTGCTTGAAATAAACATCTATCAATTTTCACTTCCGCGAAAAATGTTAATACTTTATTCCACCAGGAATTTATAGTATATGCAGAAAAATTAGCTGTTTTTAAATCATGTAAGTATTCTACAATTGATTTCTAGATTAGTTTCTAACATCTTTTTTATTTGATTTGATCATAATTTTTAAGAACTCCAAACTGAAATTTTCCATCCTTGCCTTCCAAGAATAGGCAATGTCTTTTCCTGAATCATATGAATAAATTCTCAATTGTAAGAGCTGTTACATACCAGGAAAGTACCTTTCCAGTAATGCTGAGGTGTTCCACTTGAGATGTCTGAACTTGCATAGTTCAAACTACAAGAACTAGAAATGTTGCACATTAACATCTTTTTCTGTTCTCCCCTCTCCACTCACATTTTTTATTTCTTTATTATGAAGGCAAACAACTTAATGTGGAAAATTAACTTTTCAGCTTTGACACAGACATCAACACTTACATACACTTAACCAAAGACAATTCCTAACAAAAATATGAATAAAACTAATGAGATTTCTATGACAACTAGGGTGTTTCCTTAAAAAAATAAGGAATAAATAATAAAGAGCTTTTGCTGTCTCTTTAAGTAAGATCCAGCAGTACAGACATCTTGTCTTGTTCAGACAATCTGCATTTGGACTTTCCCCAGTCCAGAGAAAGCTTTCAACTAAAAAACAGGAAGTAGATGACTTCTATTCCAATATTTAGTAAGCAGGAAAGATTTTCCCCTATCCTTGGGATAGATCATAATGTTTTCTTATTATGATATATCCTTCAAATAACATTACACATTAAAATTAATGTTCAGGACAATTTATAAATTAGAAAATTATAGAATTAATGAACCTTGCCCAATCACTTTTCATGCTACCCTACCATGCTCAGCCATCTATGGAATGTCATTAGAGGGGATGAGGGTAAAATTTTTAAGTGTTTCTTTAATATTGAAACTATGCTGATTTTTAGGGACCTTCAGCAAGATAGATGAGAGGTACACTTCAATAACAGTGAGAGACTAGAGATCTGTCAGCCCTCTTTGAAGAGCAAGAGTGGATCAGCCTCTGAGAACAAAGCCTGTGCTGGTCCAGGCAGAGGGACTGTAACACCCAGCTTCATCTCACTAAGTTTTTGTGAAAGTAGATGTCTTTCGCTTTGTTAATACTCTAGACCAGCCTAAATAGCAATGCAATATCAGTCACACAGCAACTCAATTTGGGTACCAAAATTCAAATAAATGGGTCATCTGTTTGGGGCATGTATGCAAATGACCTGCTTAGGTTTCCACATGAAGCCAGAAGCAAAGACCAGAAATGGAAGCTGTTGCCCAAATCACAAACCACTTCTTCACCAACATCATATTTCTGGACAGGATCCCTTTCCTCCACCCTCTCAGTTGATGTGCGTTCCTTTTCTCTATTACATGTCTGTACTCAGACCACAGAGAAGAGGTTGTTGTAGTTTCAAATCATTGGTCTTTCTTCCCTTTTAGAGAATCATATTTGTTAGTCAGAAAGTGCTGCACCTGGGACTCAAAACCAGAAGAAAATAACTTCTGGCTCATTCAAGCAATGAAGTGTGAAGGGCCATTAATTTATAATCTCATTTTAGCAGGATTTCACATGTGCCCCAGCTCAAGTACACACTGGACAGAAAACAGAACAGATGTCTGGGCTCATTTTGCTCCAAGTGTCCAAACTGGAGTCCTCTCAGTTTTTGGAAGAAATAAAATATTTAATTTACAGCATGTTATCAACATATATTTAT